GCTTGGTGTTTTTTTCAGTACCCACCACGTGCCAGAGAAGACCTGGCCTCAGTCTTCTAGGAACCTGTCACCCACCAGGAGAGATAAAACCTAGACAGGAGTCCCATTTCAAGGCAATGTGTATCAAAGCTACTACTGGCTTGCTTGATGAAACAATGTAGAGCTCATCACTATGTCCTCTGGGCCTGCTACACCAGAGGTGCTTGATAAATGGGTGAAGAAGGGAGGCAGACTGCAGAGGACAGCGGTGGCATTGTGACTTTAAAAGCCTTGACTATAGGATTAGGACTGTTGGTCTGGCCTTGGCCCCTATGTGAAGGTCACTGATTACCCTTGAGCCCTAGCTGTCTCACCTCTTAACAATCAATACCCCAGGATGACAACACCCAGGGTGAATACGACCATGCACAGAAAAGGCCACTCTGCAGACTGCAACGGTACAGAAGCAGCAAGCATGGATTTCACTGATCACAGACAGAGTACCACTTAATTTGAAGGAAAAGAAGCACCTGGAGGTAGGGAGTATCAGCCCGCTTTTACAGAAAAGGAAAGTGTAGCCCAAAGGGCTCAATGGCCTGTCCAAGTTATCACAGATAAAAAGAAGAAAGCATAGAAGTTGGGATGTGAACCCGGGTGGTATGGTGCCCAAGTCTGAGTCTCTTTAGTTAGGAATACTCTTGCCCAGCTGGGTTTGGTAGGGGAAGGTAGCAAGTTTATGGCCACTTGGGGAGGAGACTGACCTACAGTTCACTCATGTATCAATTCCTAGATATAGAGAGAGTCTATGTGAAACCCATTCAAGGTCTGACCATGGCAAGCACTGAGTCCATGTTCATTCAAGCAAAACGGTGAGCGCTTTTGCCATATTAAGACCTTTGCTCATAATACTCTTTGTAGAGCAACACCAGGCACCACTGAAGGCAGGTTAGGTAGGAGATGGGATTTTATTGCTTGCTCCTAATCTCGCTGCTGCTAGAATCATTAAGCCTTTGCAAAGCAAGGATGGGAACCTTTGCTGTATGGATATGGAAGGAATTGCTACTATGCTTTAATTCCAGAACCTGAGCTACATCTGAAAAAGAGGTCAAAATGACACATTTTTTTCCATAAGTTCTGCCATAGAAAGGTGTCTGCTTTCTCCATAACTTCTGACAGTTTACCTCTCTAAGCCACCTCTGGCCTCCACATGGCCATTCCAGTCCTTTGTTGTGGGAACTTGCCAAACAGGATGAAGGGTATCCGAGTTAGTTCAAGACTCCTCTTGCTGTTTGAACCAAACCTGACATTCAGCAGAAGGCTCAGGGCAGCAAGTAGCACACTGATTAGATTTCCAGCTCCACAACCTGCTCCCCTGCATGACTGTCCCTCGTGCCCTCTGGTCAGAAGCCAGTTCTAGGTAAAGGCAGCTAGGCTCATGGGGCGGTCAGGCTGTGTGAGTGGGAAATGTGTTCTGCCGCTGCTGCTGGTGGTTGTATCGCTTTACCAGAACTGAGCGTACCAGAATGAGTTATTCATCTGTCTCTGAGATCTTCGCTTTACTTTTTCTCCATGAACGTTCCCGGCATTATGGCCCTTAGTAGGCTAGTGGCCCTCAATAAGAGCCCACATGTCACAGATGCATGCCTCCAGTTGAAATGCTGCAGCAGCTGGAGCAGGAGTAGAGTTGGTTAGGCAGGAGGTGGCAGGGGCATGAGTGTCAAAAGGCCTTGGGTCTAACCAGCTAGCTACATGGAAAGAGTGGGAGACCCATGGCCAAATGTGGTTGGTTCCTTTCCAAACTCCATCGTTATCAGGCATTTTGACTTGGCTAAGTTGTGTTATTACTTTTTGATTCTGTGTCCTCGTTTAGTAAAGATGGCTGACATTTACTGACTAGACTCTTATGTGCCAGGCACTGAGTTACTTTACATATATGAGCTCATCTCATCTCAAAACTTTAGCAAGTATGTCTACTTACATACTTTCTCCGTTTAACAGATGAATCTATGGAGGCTCATCAAGGTCAACTGACTTCCAATATGTTCCACAGTAGAGGAACTCAGACGTGAACCAGAGCATGGACCTTTTTCTTCATACCCAATAAAGAACATACAGATATCTAGCTCTAGGGTTTTTTTTTCAGCACAAACTGCATTAACACAGTCTCCATGGTACACAGCAGTTCTCCACCAGGATTATATGTATTCTTTTTGCTTGCTTTTAAAAATCATTTCATTATTACTGGTGGGGTGGGCAGGTGTGACAATGTGCCTTTGAAGGTCAGGTCAGAAGAAAACTTTCTAGAGTTGGTTCTCCACCATCACATGAGTACATGGCAACTCAGGTTACCAGCCTTGCACAGCAAGTGCTTTTACCTGCTGAGCCTTCTTGCCAGAAAATGTTGTGTATTCTTGCCTGATATTTCTAGACTGTAGATCGACTGACTCTAAACCTATTTTGCTGACAACTGTGCTTACCCTATAACCAGGGCCCAGTGTACAGGAGTTCTTCAAGGAAACCAAGGCACTCAGGGAACATTTTAAGGAAAACATCAAGATGACACTAGGAAGGGGAAGCACAATGCAGCAGGATGTTTTCCAGGGATGCTGGCATCTTTGGAGGAAGCAAGCAGTGAAGGCAGAACTGCTGACCAGGACCTCCACTTGGGTGAGGAAGGACAGGAAGAGGTGCACCTGCCTCCAGAGGAGCTGCTTTAACATTTCTTTTGCTGACTGTGGAGCCGGGGAGAAACCCAGGACCGCTGCTAGCTATGATCCTCTGCACTGTTGGCCTGGCACACTGTACAGTGTTTGGAGGCATTTGACTCTAGCAGCAACCCTCTTGAGAAACTGACAACACCATTCTCATTTTATGGAGGAGGAAACTGCTTCCATTCATATTAGGAAAGATGTTCAATTCATCTTTTTACTATTTGTGTCTAGGAGTACCCCCTCATCATGCTGGGAATAAGACCCAGTAGATAGTCCAAACAGCACGTGACATACCCATCCTGGAGCTGTTCTTATCTCCTGATTCCTAGATTATAACTTACTCCATTAAAGCGTTCAATTAACTGATCTTCTGGCTGTCGAGAACACCTGTTCAAACCTTAGCACAAGATACTGTGCAATTATCTGCCTTCTACAACAAATGCCCTTTTCAGGCAAAGTCATTCTTCCTAAAGAACTCATTCCCACAACCATCAATTTGGGGCAAATAGTAAATTAGACCTTTCATTTTTAAGTTTTTGAACACAGACATCCTTAGTCTACCTTTAAGAAATGACTACAGTTGCCAAATGTACTGTTTTTCTTTTAAAGATTGGAAAGAATTCTACTAGTTCCCCTAATTCAAATTCAAACTGCGGATCGTGTGCCTGTTTTATGATGTTGTTAAAACACAAAGAAGGGTCTCAAGGTTTACAACCAACCCCCAAAGTAGGCAAGCCAGAAGAAAAATTTCATGCATTGAGGTTCATGTACTATCAGCAGCTTACATGGGATCCAGAGCAGGCCAGATAAGCTAATAGCCTATCCCTTTGAGCAGCTCATCTGGAGAGGTTAGCCATCCAGAACACAAGTACACAAGAATGAAAGAGGGCTTTGAAGTAAGCCAGGCACAGACGTGAACCCAGGCTTTACTAGCAGTAGAGGCTAAGCATGTTCTGTGCCTAATCGCTCTGGGCTGTAGATTTTCCATCCATACAATGGGGACAATGATACTTATTTCACATTTAGGGCTCTTAGAGTTAACTACCTTTCCTCCTTGGCTAAGCTCCACAGAAGTGAGATTCAAGGAATTTATGATCTTCATGGATGTATCATCTAACCCTTCACCCACATGGCAGGAATTCAAGGGCAGAGTACAAAATTAAAAAATGCTGGCAAGGAGCAGTAAGACAGCTGTGAAAATGTAAGCCCCACAAATGATGCTGCAGTTCTGATTAACCCTCCCCCTCTCCTGCCTCAAATGGACACACTAAAAGAAAGTAGGACCTGCGTAGTTCACACCCAAATTCCCATGAGCTACCATTGCTCAAAAGAATTCTGAATCTTATCAAAGTTCATGGCACATTTTTGCAATGTCTTTCATGAGGACTGCACCCTTTAAGGCAATCCCAGCACACGTAAGTCTGGACTTTATACTTAAACATGAGTAACCTGCTCAGCAGTTAAGAGTTTGCAAAGTATCTTCATACTCATGACCTTTTATACCTTATTGTAACACTATAAAGCATGCTTGGTTTTGAAGATGCACAGTTTGTTAGTAGAGGACCAGAGCTAGGAATATTGCTATAGATTCCTGCTTCAATTTATCTTGCCATCATAGACACTGGCCAGGAAAAAAACAGTGGGCTAGAGAATTTTAGTGGCACGATCACTATTACTCATCAAAGGAGTGGAGAGAACACAGAAAACATCTGGGTTAGTTGACAAGGCCAGTGCTCAACTTTGTAGTACAGTGGCTAAGAGCTGAGACCCTGGAGTAAGAGACAGGCTCAAATATCAACTCTACAATTTATTAACTAAGGGAGCTTGAGCACATTAATTTTACTCTGTGGTCCTTAGTTTCTTAATTAAAAAAAATTTTTTTTGAGACAGGTCTCATGACCTAGCTGGCCTTGAACTCACTATATAGATCAGGACAGCTTTGAACTCACAGAGATCTGCCTGTCTGTGCCTCCCGAGTGCTGGGACTAAAGGCATGTGCCACCATGCCCAGCTGGGTTCTTAACTTTTAGAAAAGAAAAATAATATTTAAACTTCATTTAATTGTTGTGAGGATAATGTATATAAAGTACTTTAAGAAGGGGCTTAGTAAATGTTGGCTTTTAAAAATAGTAACTGCAGAGGGAAACAACAGTATTAAGTGAAGCTCTCCTTGGTAGAAGTCTCCTTTGGTTTTCTTGGCTTCTACTCAGAAACCCTCTGTTGGCTAGTCACACATATCTGTTGACTCAGATATCCCATGGATTAATACAGAAGGAATTCAGATCAGCATGGCAGAGGCCGGACACCTACCGCCAAGATGGCGATGACGATCCCCACTGCACAGAGCACGGCATCATTTATTGTCTCGCTGACTTTCAGGGGGTACTTGATGCTCTCATCATTGCAGTAAAACCCTCGGCGGTAAGGCTTAATGGTGCTTGTCTCGATGATGAGGAAGGGCAGGGCCGCTGGAAACACACAAAAAGAGGGGACAAAAGAAAGGGGAACACATAAGTGTCACGAAACCAAAGGGGAACACCCAGAGCAAAGATCACCCCCCAATGTTGACCGAAATACTAATTTCTGCGTTCGTGACACTCTGCAGCCCATATGGACAGTCCCCATCTCTCCCCTTTCATGGCCCCATGAGAAAAGTGGTATTTTCCTCTTTCCTTATCCAAAAGTTCAGAGAGAAATAGTGAAAGGGTTAGGGCATGGGTCTTCCACCGTTCTACCATACCCTGCTAAAAAATTAAAGTCCAATTTGTAAACATATAGCCCAAAGCATTCCAGGGTGTCAGCTCCTGGGTCCTAACCATTTCCCTACTAAGACGCTCATCCATACATTGTGCAGGCCCTGAAGTCACAGAACTTGGACTTGCAAGGTGGATCCACCACTTCCTAGTAGTGTGGTTTTTGTTCTTATCCACCTCAGTTTCTCCACAGTAAATGAGTTGTGATGAGTAGGTTTTTCAGTGTAGGGAGTCTCTGGCACAGTGTCTCGCTGCTCACTCGACGTCGTGTTCAAGCCTTTTCCTTCACTATTCAGAGTCATCGGCAAGACCTCACAAAGTTGAGCTCCGCCCAGCCGCCTGCCATCCTGGATAGGAGCCCAAGGGCATGGGGAGCACTAGGTGACTCTTGCAGCTGGTTATCAGTGGCCAGCTCAGATGCCATTCTCTTAAAGGTCATGGTTAATGGGTTTTATCACCTTCCCAGAAGTCCCTCAAAGCCCTGAAGCAAAAAGCAAATGTCTACCACAAGTCTTGTTCTACAGTTACTTCCTAATATAATAGGGTTCCTCACCTCCTAGAAATATCTAGCAGTTAACTTTCTGAAAGACTGACCATGAGCATATTATTGCCTTGCTAGGTCATCACCAATGGCTCACCAGTGCATGGGGAATATAAGGCCTCTTATCCTCACCTGGGAGTGTCCATCCAGGACCTCAACTTCTCTAGTTTCTTGCTGGTCTTCCTCTTACCACCAAGGAAACAGGCCCAGGGTCTTGGCTCATGGTATGTTCCTAAGACCAACAATATGTCAAGTACTTTGTGTTTTTGCACTCAACATTCCAGCTACCTAAACAGGTCATTTTAGAGCATCTTTTGCTTGATATTTAGGGGCTTAAAATCTACCTCTCTAAGTGCCTAATCCCTAATTTAACTTTGCAAATTGGCTTTATCCAATGTGAAATTTATTAACGGAAAAAAAAAAAAAAAAACAAACCCAAGATAAGCAGTTGCTTAAAAGGTAAAATTCCGTTGTCATGGTTTTCAGAAAAAAATTAGATTCATGTCACATTGCTCAAAGCCTCAGACTGCCTCGGAAAAAAAAAGTACCATGGGCTCCACAATTTTTCAATTACTTTGGTCCAGACCAGCAGCAATAAAAACGCTCACTTTCTAAAAAGTATATTTATGTATCAGCGCAAACGCACATGGATTTATTTGGTTTTATTCTTAGGATTTATTTGAATTCTATGGCTATTTATTTTGTGACCCCTAACTGCTTCCTGCTAGAACAACAATTTACTTTATCAAATTCATACTGGTGCTTTGAAAAGAAAGAACAGCAGAGCAGCGACACACCACAGTATTGTGCCTGACCTTCTCAAAGTAAACACAGAGGGGCCCTGAAAGGCAATAACCATTAACTTCTGAAACTCTCTCTGGCCTGGAGTAGAAGAGCTGGGGGAGGTGGAGGATAACTGTTCTGGCCTAGCTGTGACAGAGGTCCACTAGGCTTCTTAGGGTTGGGGGCCTGGAAGAGATACTATATGGGCCAAAACCATCTTCATTCCACAGCTTAAAGATTTTGAAACGTGACCAAGTTGGCTATGAAAAGTGGCTGAGAAGCCAGCAATATGATATTAATGGTCTGTTTTTCAGAGTTCCACACATCATGATAGAAATGCTCAGCTCTCAGTCCTAGCTGAGTTGAAGCCTCTGAGGTGCCTGGGAGTCAGTGTTGCTAATAAACTCAGGACAGGAATAGACTCGGGTGCCTTACATTTGTGGTTCAATCTTAGGCCTCCAGCTTCTATATTTAATAGTGTTCTCATGATAGGCCTGTAAAACATATGTTTCTAAGGACAGTAAAACATGCATAAAAGAGCTTTGGAGTGAGACAGAACTTGGCTAATGATTTCAATTTTGCTCTACTATTAAAGCAAGTTATTTCACATCTTCAAAATTCCCTTTGTCATCAATGAGAAGAATGAAATCTAATTTCAGTTTTATTGGGATGATTGAATAAATTGATGTGTCCCCTAATTCATTCAATAAATATTTATTGGCTGTGTTTATTCAGTATAGAAATATAAAGATGATCCAGTCCTTGCCCTCAGGGAACTTCCAATTCAGCCAGGGAAGAAACACGCAGCTAATCAGTCTAGGATGCTTTCGTTGACAGAAACTCAAAGCAATACACTGGGTGGTTTTGTTGTTGTTGTTTTTTTTAAAGGGAAGAAGAAAGAAGGCCCACAGAGATGGCTAGGAAAGAAAAACTGTCTGGTTAGTTCCTTTGCCCTCCGCTTAGCCGGGAGCAGCACAAATCCTTCTTTTGCTTTCTTTGCCTATGGCTGGGGAGGGTTTCCGGTTCTGATTATGTGGATGATGAGTACAAACAGACCAGAAGTTGATCTGAATAGATTCTGTTTATTTTCTTGAAAGGCATGGAGCTAGCATTTAGAAAACCCAGTAGCCTTTTCTATCTCTCCTACAAACTTGTATTATTGGGGGTGATGCCAGTCAAATCTTGACTTTGTTCCAGAAAGAGAGTAACCTCAGAATCGCCTCAGTTGATGGAAACTGAATAAACATTCCCAAGAGGGCAGTTCGTTCAAGAGACAGAAGACCATGCTTTGACTCTTCTGAGTGCAGAGAAGAATGTATCTTTTTTCAAAGCAGTGTATTGATTTCCTTTGCTGGCATCATCTTTATTATCTTCTATTATGCTCATTCAGTCTCAAGAAAAGAAAAACTTCCCAGTACAGATGGTGAAATACTAGTGGTAAACACATCAGGGTAGTCCTTGCCCTGGAGATGTTCGTAGGGTTGTAAGAAAGTCACAAACACAAGCAAAATATTGCTAGTGTGCTGACTGATGTGTGCATGAAGGGCCGTGAGAACACAAAACTGGAGTACTACAGGTGTCCCACAAGGGACAGGGCAGCATGAGTTGATCCTTATGTGAATAAGAGAGGTTTTCTGGGGCCCATCTCACACACACACCCATGAAAACACTGCAGATTAAGGATTCCAATACTGGCAATCACAAAATTGGTAGTTACTATAGAATACAATTTCAAATTTTGCTGCAGTCTGGAAAAGATTGCTAAACAAAGAAGGGAAGCAAGGGAAAAATAGCACACAGGTTAAAAACGATAATTAATAGTTACAGAGCAAGCAATGTGCCTACACTGGGCTAAAGAGTCCTACATTCACTATTGGTCTGACAACCTGGCTACTTATTATACTGGAGGCACTGACTGGACTACAGAAATGAAAAAGGTTAAGTCCCAACCTCCAAGTAGCCCAAAGGCTAATCGGTGAAACCATCCTAAGAACTAGTATATTAAGCCACCCTACAGTTCCAAGAGATTAAAAGTGATTTAGCAGAGTCACTCTGCAGGTTGGACAGGGCTCAAAAGACCCGACTAAATCTTAGGTACTTTCTAAAGTGAGTCGCTTAAAACAGAAGCAACTGAGTATGAGTAGATGAGTTGAAGCCCAGTAAGTCTCACGCTTCTAAAAGAACTGCTTTAGAGCCACCAAGGCAGCCACTCTAGGTAATGTTCCCACACATTCACCATGTACCACACACATTCTAATCAGACACACACGTGTCTAATTCAATCAAAGCTCTGAAGTCAATATCCTGGAATTTAGATTTATTGATAATAAAATGTACATTATGAGCTTTCTGCAAAGCAGGACCAAAAAAAGAGAGAATAATCTAGTGACTCTAGACCAAGCCTTAAGCATGTCTCTTTTTAATCAGGGATCAATTAACTTCCTATACCTCTAGGGGCTCCTTGGGATGTGTAGGCTGCAGAGGAGATGAAATCTGAACTCGATGACAAACACTTAATGGGCAGAAAAATCAAAGCACGAAGAAAGGCCCCTGTGTTGGGTTCAGGCCTTTGAAACTTCACTGGCTTTGAAAAACTAACACTTGGGCAGGTTGGGTGGTTTGGGGGTGGGGTGTAAAAGAAACACAGGGTAAGTTTTCGTGGCCCACCCATTGATCAAGTCATGTGGGAAGTGTTACCAGAGTGACCCAGCCCCAAAGTCAGCTCCCTACAGCCATGGCTTTACATTTGCACAAAATTAAACACAGTCTCTTCTCTCCAAGGGAGGGGGAGTGGGGCAGGAGGATGAAGGAGAAGACTGCACTTTTTGCATGACCAAAAATTCAGAGCACCAGAGAGCTTCTCATCTCTCCCATTAGCCAACTCTTTTAAATGCCTCTTCCAGGACTTGTCCAATTTTCCACTTAAACCTATCTGTAGTTATCTTCACTTGATCTTAGTCAAAGGCTGAGAAGTGATTGTAGTGATCTTAATATAAGCAAAATCTAGGATCTGTGAGAGTAATTAGAGCAACATCTGCAGAGCATCTACGCACTTACACGCAAAACGATACAGGGCACAGAATACAGATGTGGGCATTGGCCCAGGATAGCTAAAGAAGCCAGGCAGCTGTTAGGACCCTGTGGCAGGAGCTTCCTATGTCTTATCTACAGGAAAGAGTGATGAGCAGGCACTGTTCAAACCATTTTACAAATGACAACACTGAGGATCAGAAAGGTCAAGCAGCTTACCTCAGAGCAGAGTTAGCAAAAGACAGATATGTACCAGATAGCAGAACTATAGACAAAAGAAAGACAAAAGGCACTGAGCTCTTCTCTGAGGGGATTAGAGATTAGTTTGAAATTGGTTTATTTAATGCCCGTGATAATTGGA